GCGGGGGCTGCCCCCGCACGAAGCAACCCGGGCGGCTGCCGGGTACCGGCTCATTCGTGGAGGCGAAAGGGAGCGGCCGGCTGGAGACCTGGCATTTTCAGGAGGTTTTCTTCCCTCTCAGCAGAGATGAAGGAGCGCCCCGGCTTCATCTGTCACTCCAGCGCTGCCGCACAGAGCCGTAGGCGCCGTGTTATGTCCTTGAGACACAGACCGATGCCATCTGGGCAAAATGCCACGAGATCCCTGGAGACCGGGGAGTATCGCGCTGCATCCGAGAGCCGCACGGAGCGTCGAGCACGCCGCCGCGATCAACAAATATTAACTGCTTTGTGGCTGGGGCGAAGCGCGGGAGCAGGGGGTGCGTGGGGGGACGGCTCAGCAGGGAGCCGGGGAGCTGGCACGCTGTTAACCCTGCGCCAGGCATCCCTCCGGCGGGGGCTGCTCCCACGCACGGGCCAGGGGGCAGTGGGCAGGTCTCAGTGGGGCCGGCAGGACACGGAGCACTGATGCACCTCGATGCTATGGGACACGGATGCTCGGAGTGCTCCATCGCCACCTCTGCACCAGCAGCGCTGGTGGATGCTGTGCTCTGTGGGGCTTCACAGCTCTCCGATGAGGCCATCCGGGCACACGGGGCTGCCTGAGCATCCCCTCTCCACAGCTGCCCCCCAGGCAGCGCCCGCAGGACCCCCACAGAGGGGAAGTCATCCAAGGGATACATGCACCGGTCGTGTTGTCACAGGGGAATCAAATGCCCCGACCTGCCCAGATGAGAGCAAGAGCAAAGGGGCACCCAGGGGGTTTGTCCCCGGCTGCAGAGGTGCCCCTGAGTCTCGGGCAGCAGCTGAAGGGCAGGTACCCACCCCTTGCTCCTCCTTGCCTTCTGGTGGCAGATGTCCTGCACGTGGTGCCAGCCAAGCCACTGCCACAGAGCACCATGGCTGCAGGCGACCAGCGGGCACAGCCACAAACAAGCAGCTCCGGTGCGCAGGTCCCCATCAGCGTCCTGGTCATGAAGAGATTAAAAGAGAAGCAAACCAAGCACCGAAGAGGGAGGAGGAGTGAAGCCATTCAGCACAGAGGGATCACGGGTGCTTTTCCCGGGGGAAGGAGCAGTGCCACCGGCTCTGCCGGCGTCCCCAGCGCTGGCTGTGCCCTTCACCGGCACAGGGCAGGCGGCAGCCGGAGCCGGGGAGCTGCAGAAGGCAGGACAGGTTTGCACCGACACCTCACTCCCTTCCTTCCACGAGACACCCAGGAAGAGCACTCTTCCCTAATTTACAGGGTGTAAACCCCACCTCTGGGTTGTGGCTCCGGGGCAGCCAGCGGTGAGACCGGCAGCTGCACAGCCGTGTGTTGAGAACTCTTCCTTACGGAGTTCTCCACTTCTTGTTGCTCGGCACCCAAACTTCAGTTGGGGATTTTTACAATTGTTGCCTCCTCCCCACTCATCGGGGAGGAAAAACTCCAGAGAAACGTCCACCCCCCACTGCCTGCGACGCGGGTGCTGATGATGAACAGCCCCAAATCCCCATCAGCCGGCTGGAGGGTGTCGGGCAAAGCAGAGCACACACGGCCGTGGTGAGAGTGGGGACCGGGACCAGCCATGGACATATCCTGCTCCTCTGCCTGCCCAACGGGACAAACCACCCCAGATCGGCACCTCCCGTACCGAAGCTTCACAGCAAATCGCACCTTCAGCCTCTCCTGGACCAACCCTTGGTCACGGTGTGCATCTACCAGGGAACTGCAGCCCGCTAAGGGGGGAGACCAGAGGACAAAAGGCCTGACCCGCTCGGCTGCCGAAGCACGTGCTCAGCATCCCGGCAGCGCCCGTTCCCTGCCCACAGCCACGGCTGCAGCAGGAGCCCAGCAGCATCCACGCGCTCCGTGAGGCCGCCCAGCACAGCGCTGAGAGGGAGACTGGGGCGGCGTGAGGCGAATCGCATCCGTATTTTAAAAAGGAGAAAATTCAATATTTTTTGGGGAAAAAAAAGTGATGTAAGAAAAGTAACAGTCCTGGCAACCCTAGAGCTACTTCAGGCTCCCGAAGAGTCATCATTCAGAGCAGGCTGGTTGAATGTCTGCAGTGCCGAGTTATTGCTGAGACAGACCCAGCTTGTCCTTTTTAACATATTAATTCATTTTTATGGGTTGATCCGTATCAGTTTCTCTTTTTGTTTACGAATTTGGGCCCTCCCTGGGAGCAGACAACGTCCTCTGCACAGAGCCCCCCCGGAGCCACGGGTCCAGGCGCCTTCACCCAGGGACCAAAGTGGCACGAGGGTCTGGCACGGGGGTGCCCGAAGGAGCGGTCTCAGCCCCTGTGACACCTGAGCCAGCTGCACCCAAACCCGAAATTGTTCTTCTTCACAGCTGATGTCTGCCCCGACCACCTTTGTGTGAGACTGAGATCAGCTTTAAAATCAGACTTCAAAAAAACTGCAACCAAAGCGGCCCTGTGCTGTCCCTCATCACAGAAGTCCTTTTCTCCCTCCAGATCCCACGCACGAGACCTGGAAACTAGTCCAACACCGGGGTGAGCGGGCAGAGGAGCTGCTGGAGCTTCCAGCAGGGAGGATGCTGCCCATTGCCCGGAGCTGGGAGAGCCGCCCCAGAGCCACAGCAGGGACCTTCTCGGGACCACGGGAGAAGTCCCATTTTTCCCAGCCCTGCACAAACCCTCTGCAGCGGGGACCTGCGTCTGCCTGGGGTGTGAGAAATCCCCAGGGGAGCCAAGGGCCATCCCCGCCCGGCCGAGACTTTACGAAAAGGGCCTTCTTGCTCTTTGCTGTGGGAATGAGCTGGAAGGGGAAAACGTCAGATAAAGCCAAGGTTGAATGAGTGAAGGGAACCGTAAGTCTTTTTGTTTCTCCAACTCCTCCTGCTGCACTTGCCATCGCCGGTGGGCTCAGCTCTCGGGGAGCTGCCCCCCAGGAGCCCTGTGCTCCCCCACTACCTCCGCCGCGGGACCCTTCCTTCCCCCTCGGTCCCAAGGGTTTTGGTGGAGGTAGAGCCATGGGTCGGCACCTCTTACCCATTCCTTTCTGCTCCCGAGATCCCCGGTTACATTTTCCTGGCCACGATTTGACAAGTCTTCCATTACCTACATCAAAACCCAACACGGGCTCACCTGGCTGGAGTGCGGCGGGTCCCTCCTCGCCCCGGTGGCTCTGCAGCCAGCGAAGCAGCCAGAGGGTCTCGCAGGGGTGCGGAGCTGCCCCCGGCCTCGGCCACGCACAGGGAAAGGCAGCAGCAACACTCCAAAGCCTCATCTCAGCCAGCAACAGTGCAGCTTTGACCTGGAAAAATGTTTTTCTTACCAACCCTGAGGACTTACAGGCGCTCTGTGCTGCGGGATGCCACGTCTGCGCCGTGCAGATTGGGCTGAGGACGGGCTCAGATCACACCCGGCTGTGGCCAGCACAGGGCATCCAGGCAAGTCTTGGTGTCCCCTGCCTACCCGGGCCCTACGAGAAACAGCGATGCTGACAGAAGGGATTTCATCGTGTCTCCCTAAATTAGAAGGGTTTAGAAGCCAAACAGTTCCGCGCTTACTCTCAAGCATGGCACTTGAGCGGGGAGGTTTCCTGTCCCTTGCCTGGCACCTTAAATCCCCCTCTCCTGCCCCTGCCAGCCAGGCTGCATGCAGATGTCTGTCTGTCTGGCCGGAGATCCTACTTTCCTGCCATCATCCCAACGCAGGACCCGCTCCGCCCTGCCCTGCCTGCATCTCGTGCTTCGTTAGTCGCTGCAGCTGTGAATTGGGCACACGGAGAATTTGCTGAAGCCCAGCAAAGAACCACTACGTACAGTTAAAATATACATCCAGTTAATTACTGATAATAATGTATTTCCCTCTCCAATACAGCTTCGAGCGAAACTTTTGCTGAGGACGGCAAAGCAAAACGCTTTGTTTCCATTAGTTTTTTTTTTAAATGAAAAAGCCTAATTTGTCTTAACATGACACCAAAAGCCAGCAAAACATTCTTCAGCTCCAGCCTGTGCTCACTAACAATATCTGCGCAGTCACATACCAAGGAGATTCAATTATCTGGCAGAACATGTCCCAGAGGCATTTAGATAATTGCAAACATAAGTACAAAATCTGCCACTAATTATTAAAGAAATACCAAATAAGGAGACCAAATGATAGAAAAGGAGCGTTACTGGGTGCAAAAATCATTCACACACGCTGGAAGGGACGGGGTTTTCACGGGGGTGCGTCTCGGCCGTGCTGGGAAAGCCCGAACCCTGCGGAGCCGGGGGAAAGGCACCGCCGTCCCCACAGCCCCAAAACGGTCCGAAGGACAACGTGTGGGATAGGGGACGAGGCTCCCCCAGCACCAGCACCAAACGCGCCTTGGGGTGAACCCCAAACCCCCACCCCATCCCCGGGGACAGCCCCGGCGGCGGGGCAGGTCCTGGCGAGGCAGCCCCCGGGCAGAGAGATCCTCCGTGCAGTGAGCATCAAGGTGGGCTTTACCTCCTTGTCTGCTTAGATTCGCTTTGTCTTTTCTTTAGAACTGCACGCTCTCTACATGAAGATTTTGGGAAGCAGGAGTTCCCTGAGGGGAAATTCAGGAGCAGGGAGATGCTGGCAAAGCGGCTGGAGGCTGCTGCACCGGTGCTGCCTCCCTCCCCTTCCCAATTACCTTTTGCACAACGTGATGCAGAGACGAGAACCGCGTTCTGTGGTACTTGGGCTGACATTTCTGCTACCTACCCTGCAATAACAGCAATTACGCTGAATATAGGTCACAAATGATTTTTGTTGAATATTCAGCAGCTTGAATCAGAAAACAGGCATATACAAATGGATGTTTTTCCCTATCTCCTCCGTGTAATAGCTACAGATTTCCTTCCAGTGCGCCAGGCAGCGAGAGCAGAAGCAGACAAGATGCTCATTAGACAACATCAAAACATACATCAGAGCTTCAGCGTATCCCACACCGAAGAGCAATCCTGACCAGGGAGGAAAGCGCTGCTCCGCTGCAAACACACGCTTATACCAGGGCACTAGTTTTTTTTGTCGCTTTTAAGAGAGGCTGTTTCAATAACCTAATGCAGGGCCGCTGGGCTCCGTCCTCTGAGATTCCCAGGACCTGCCTACCTGCTCCTTTTCTTCAGCCTTCCCGAGCTGCCTGGGTTCTCATGGTCCCCGGGGGACACGAGCTGACATGTAAAAAGATCCCAAACGTAACCCTGTAAGTCAACAGGAGTTTGGATGCCGAATTGAGCAGAGGCAGGATTTCATGCCATCTGTCCGGTACCGTCCTGCTGTCCTGCCCATGGCACGGCGGAGAATTCCCGAAGCCCAGGAGACCCGGCTTTCCCAGCCCAGCGGCAGCGTCGGGGGGTCGGGATGCCCAATCCGGGTCCCCGTGGAGCATCGCCTGCCCGGCTCTGTCCTGAACCGTGAGATGGCAAAGCATCAGCGGTAGGGTGGAAAGTGGCAGCTGTTGAGGGCTGGTATTTCCAGCTCCAAAGATGATTTGGAGGCTGTTTAACTGTGATTAAAAAAAAAAAAAAAAAAAAAAAAAAGGAAGAGAGAGAAACAAGGCAAAAAAAAAGGAATGAAAACCAACCCCACACTGTGATTCGAAATGGGAACGTGTTCTGCTTATAATTCAGTGCCACTGCTGGTTATTGTTACGATCTATAATTACGGACTGCTTTGCATCCCTTGAGGTTCAGCTTCCTTCCCACCAGTCTTCGGAGTTCAGTCATTTACCCTTCCCGTGTTTGCAGATGCCCTTTGGGTCTGTTCTCCCTTCTCCTCACAAACTCCTCAAGGCACACGGGGGGTCTGACCGGCTGCAGGACACTCCCAGCCACGACCTTCAGCCCTGCCGGGCTCCAAGAAGGAACACTAAAGGTCCACCTGGAAGCAGCAGAGCTTTCCCGTTTTGTCCCCTCCGCTGCCCGCCCGCAGCGTGGCTGCGAGAGCCGTCCCTGAGCACGGAGCTGAGCTCCCAACCGGGGAAGGAGCAGGAGCACAAGCGACGATGCTGCTCCACGCGCCGCCCAGCCGAGGGACTTGGAAGGAAGCCCATGTTTGAGGGCTCCTAAAGGGAAAGCAGCTTCTCCGTGACAGCGTTTTGGCAAAACCAGCGTTATTTAAATACAACAGTTTCTTCAGTCAAAGTAAATAATAATTAAGTAAACCCAATTAAAGTCAGGAACGCTCAAAAATATTCTCAGAAGTGCCCCAGCGTTTGACTCGGCTCCTCGCAGGAGGAGTAGGGGCTCGTTTCAGAGCTGGGGTGGTGGGGACGTGGCCAGTGATGGCTGAGCAGTAGGGCTGGGCACGGGGATGCGCGGGGGCGAGTGGCCGGAGGGTCCGGGCTGCAGGTGGGACGAGGTGGCACAGGGGCGCCTCCACCTCCCCCCCCACCTCGGCACTGCGGCGTCTCAGCTTCCGAGCACTGTTTTGCTCCTGACCCTCAGGGTGGAGGACACACGCTCTCAACACGGGCAGCCTGAAGGTAACCAGCAGATAACAGCTCTGGGGGCACAGCCCACCCCCGGCACTCGGCTTTCACTCTACGCCATGTCCCTGGGGCAGAGCAGGAGCTGCCCTGGCTGTCCCCCCGGCGCCGGAGGGGTCCCTGGGTGAGATTTACAGGAATCAGCCAAAACAGCCCGGGAGGAATCCAAATGTGTCTGAGGATGGACCCACGTGCCCCCAGCTCCGCCGGGCTCAGGGCTGCAGAGCAGGGCAGGGGATGCTGCGAGAGCGTGTACATCCACGCGGCACATCTCGCCGAGCAGGATGTATGTCAAACAGAACATAATTATATCTCTGCGGTGACTATTTTTCCACCATGTCCTCATTTCCATGCTGTCCTTAAAACAAATGCAGAATGTTTTCGCCTGCAACACTGAGTATTTAAGTTGCTCGGGTATCCTTTTGTTCGAAAGGCTCTCTCCTTTCATCAGCATAATAGTAAAAAAAATTAAATTGAGCTCTTTTTGAGGATATCCTTAAAAAGCGCAGGCATCTTGGAGGGATGCCAAGGTGCTTCCTGAGCTGCGCTCGGAGCAGGACGGCGGGCAGAAAGCCTCCCGCCTCATTTAGTCTCTGCTTTGGTTCTCAGCTTGCAGAAAATTGATGAAGGCTGCTGGCTTGGCAGCTACAGCCGTCAGATACGTTTGCAGACATCTTTATTTGTTTTCCCCGTGAAAACATCACGATGTGTCTATGCTGATGGCAACGCTGAAAACAAACCAGGAAAATCCCACCTCCAGCAGACCCCGACCCAAGGAGCTGCGGGGGCGATGACCGAGCCGGCCACCCCGCACAGCCGGGGACCACCGAGGGCACGTGCTGAGCCCCGAGTGGCAACCAGACCCTGGGAGGGCAGACCCCGCTCGCACCCATGGCCGGCAGCGCCGCCGTGCAAAAGGCAGATCGTACAATCCTCGCTTGGCCTCGGCTTTTACCAATCAACAGTCAGCCAGCATGACAAATAATTGTTTGCAGCTGTCATTAGCTGAAAACAAGGCGAATCTGCATATGCTTAATCTTAATTAGGCAGACTTGGCAAGGAGCCCTTGCTCGTTGCTACCAAACAACCGTTTCGCACACAAAAGGGCGACAAAAGCTCAGGCGTCTGCATGCACACACACACACATGAAATGCGGATGGAAAAACCTCCCGCAGAACCTCCTCCTGCCCCGTCCCGCGGAGGGGCCGTGGGGTGGGAGGGCGCCCACCCAGAGCTGCCCCGTGTCCTGACCTCCCGCCACCCCTCCGGCCCGGGTGGGATGCACGGTAGCGGAGCTGCTCTAAATCAAAGCCGAGGAATTTCACCACCGAATGAATCGTTGCTAATTATTCAACTCTTGTTTACCTCTCCGCGGAGCGGGCGTTGACGGACCTCGCCGAGGCATTTCCAGTCGAGGAGGAGGAGGAGAGGAGGTTTGGGTGAGCCGCCGGGGCGGGCTCTGGCGCCGTATCAGGACTTCGAATTTGTGAGCGAAGCCCTCGGCCGCCTGGGGAGGGAAACCGGGTCACGGGCTCGGCAGAGAGCGCCTCCGGCCCCTCGTGCCCGGTGATGACATCAGCGCCACTGCGCCGGGGCAGCACCGGTGCCAGACGTCCCCAGCAAACACAGGCGAAGCCCCAGAGTCCTGCCGAGCACCCCGTCCTCCACACATCTTCCTCCTCATCACCATCATCCTCCTCCTCCAACACCCTCCCGCCCGGATGAGCCTGGCACGACCCAACGGGGCGTTATTTTGCTATCGCACAAATGATGAATACAGCCACGATGGGTCTGGAAAGATGTCATGCCCCACGTGCCGCGGAGCCGGGACCACCTACGAGGGCACTGCGGTTCACCTGGCACCTGTACCGCCGGCACCGCGTGCCCCGCACACCCGCCCCGTGTCAGGCGCTGCCGACTCACGCGTTGCACGCACCGAGCCAGGCAGGAGGAAAGCTGCGTGAGCCCACATGAAAAATGCCAGTCCCGAGTCAGTGCCCTCAACCCACGAGCTCTTACCCAGGAGCCGGCGGGCGGCAGAGCGAGCGGAGGCACCCACATCCCGCGCCCTCGCAGCACGCCGGGCGGGGAGATGCTCGCCGGCAGACGCAGCGAGCCGTCGAGGCGGGTTGAAGGTGTCGGCACGCAGCATCTGGGTGAAAAGAAGATGTAACTCAGATGAGGAACGGGAAAATGTGTTTACTGCAAAGAGACACCGCGCTGATGGGAAACAAAGAAGATGCTCCAGCACAGCGCTGCGGGAAAGTCTCGCTGAGATGAACAGGCCGACCCTGAGATGCGTGCGAGTCGGTGCCGGGCTGGAATGGGGCTCGGAGCTGCGGCTGGATGGGAACAACCAGCTCACCCGGCACGGGAGGAGGCGCTGGGGGAGGGTCAGCACCTCCACCCCCGGCAGTTCAG